CGTCGGCCCCGCCGACCCTGCGTGCCCTGCGTGCTCCGCGCTCCCTGGCTGCGTGCGCGCTCTGGATGCCGGGGGGGGGGGGTGGCCTCTAGGACGGACGGAGGTCTCGCGACACTTGCAGCCCGGGGGCAGGTCGGCGCGGGGCGGGGCCGGTTTGCAGGATCGGAACGGACGGGTTTACGGTCCGGGATTGGCCTGAACTGGGCGGGAAGCTCGGAAAATGAGCACGGGCCTGAGTGGTCGAGCCGGACCAGGTTCTAGAAAGGACGACCGTGGCGAAAAGCTCCGCCATCCCGTAAGCTGCCATAAACGTGTCGGAAGCTCGTTTGCCCAGCGCGAACCCTTCCTGCGATGTCCGCAGGCAGGCTCAGCGGGAGCTCTTCCTCCCAGCCAGGCGACTCTGTTCCCCGGCCTGGGCACCTAGACTGGACAGCTCTCTCCTACCGATGTGGCAGCTGAGATAAGAGGTGAAGCGGCTTGTTCTGTGCGGGTGAGAGTTCGAAGCCGGAAAAGCCTGACTCCCACCTAGAACCCCCTCATGTTCCGTCTGTCTTCTCGGCATTCTAGTCCCCCGCGGCCTGCACTGCTGAGGGCCTCCTGCTAGCCCAGCGCGTACCCGTGCCTGGAGGATTTTTGTAACTCCAAATGTTTGCCCTTTTCGATACCAGGATCAATGTCTTAAAACTCTGAAAAGTCCGCCTACCCAAAAATGGGTGATTCGATTTAGGATCACAGGTTTCTTCTAGTCTAAATGTTGAGCCGATCCACACTTGGTATTGGGCACAACCAAGAAACGGAGGCATTTTTGGAGAGTGCTAGTGGGCAGTGGTGTGCTGCAGTCAGATAAAGCTGTCTCATACCTTTTTTGAACTTTCCACAGCACCACAGTAAAAGCTTAGTGACACCAATATGACAAGAAATCACAGCACTTCAACACAATTTAACAAAATTAACATAGCAATAAATAATAGCATCATAAAGTACTATATCTCACCCCAGGCATCTCCTCTGTAGTTTGTTGATTAAGCAAGTTGTTTAACCTCTTTGTACCTCAGCTTCTCACCCGAGAATGCAGATACCTACCTTATAGAATGCGGGTGAAAAGAAACATCCCCATCAAGTGCTTGGCTTGTATATGAATCAATAGGTGGTGGTGGAATCTTGGCCTTTCCTGACTCAGATCTCATGATTTTGTAACCTTTTGGGGAACTCAACTTTTTTGCATTTGCAACCCTTCAAGGCACTCCCTTCTGCCATCACAGCACATTTGATCTTAAACTTGACTCTGTCATTCTGATCTAACTCCGGGTAAATGAGTCTTGGCCAGGTTCATGTACCCTTTTAGTCACTAGGCTACTGAATACATGGTTCTACTGCTAGGAACTGGGTGGCTAAGGAGTTGCAGGCATCCTTGTCATGTGACACTGAGGCCTTGAAGCAGGGAAGAGACTAACACTGTCAGTTCCTGAGAATGCCTGTAAATTGAAGGGGGCATAGAAGAGAGAAGGCACTCTGAGCTCTACCAGGAAAGGCTGGGCTGCAGGACCTGGCCCACCACCAGTGGTTTTCCACCACTGTAGGTTTTAAAATAATTTCCTAAACTCATGCTTCGTATGATCCAGGAAAGCCTCCTGTAGTTGCTCCACAGAGGATCCTGGAGGTCCTAGTGGACCCACCTGCAGCACTACATGTGAGTTGCTTTTTTGGCAAGGATGGTTTTGCCAAGAGCTTCAAAATCTTGGAGGCAGACACTAAGGTGTTCGTGGGGCAAAATCGTGCCTAAGTCACTGTGGTCAATGGCACCAGATGGAGAAAATGTTCATGGAGCCAGCTGTTCACCGCAGCCTCGGCCACCAGCAGCACATCTCAGGTTTCCACAGCTTCCCTGAGGACGACTTCATGTTCATGGTATTGGAGCTTAGCTGCCCAAGGTCTCTCCTGAAGGAAGAGAGCACTGACCGAGCCCGGGGCGCCATGACCCACAGTAGGTCATCTTCAGCTGCCAGGACTGCCTGCAACTGGCCCTCAAGTTAGACAATCCCTTCCTGAGTGAGGATCTGGGGGTGAAAATGGGGTGTGAGCCAGACGCGGTGGCTCATGCCTGTAATCTCAGCACTTCGGGAGGCAGAGGCAAGAGGATTGCCTGAGCCCATGGGTTCAAGACCAGCCTGGGCAACATGGTGAGACCTGGTCTCTACAGTAAGTCAAAAATTAGCCAGGTGTGGTGGCGCACCTGTGGTTCCAGCTACTTGGAAGACTAAGGCAGAAGGATCGCCTGAGCCCAGCAGGTTGAGGCTGCAGTGGCTCCAGCCTGGGTGACAGAGTGAGATTCCAACTCAAAAAATAAAAAAAAGAAAACAGGGTTTTGACTAGAGACCAAAGTCGCATTTAACGGGTGCAGTGGGAGACCCTAAGTGGATTCCTGATCACACAGCTCCGAGGTGCTAAGCAAGGGGCAGTTCCGAGGGGGACATGTGGCATACTGGGGGCACTGCATCCACCTTGTAAGTAGGCTGGCTACCTTTGGAGAACTCTTGTCTAAAGACTTACCTCTGGACCAAAAGTGAGCACAGCACTCCCAAGCATGTCCACCCATGGCCACCTCCCTTACCCAGAAGATGCTCACAGAAGACCCTACTGCCCTCCCCCCAACGCCAAGCTGCCTGTTGACAAGTTCTTCCTTCAGGGCACGCCTCCCTGTCTCCCCATCATCTGCCTCACCATTCCAGAGCAGCATGCACCCCAGCAGCTGGAAGCCTCTCAGGTCCTCAGAGGAAGCAGGGAGAACCTCCTGCTCCAGCAGCCTCAGGAAAGGGAACAGTGACTCAGGGAATGGGTAAGGCAGCCGATGCCCCCTTGGCAACATGCCATAGCCACCACACGGCATCAGTGCCTCCAAGCCCTCAGGGCGAGGCCTGGTGAAGCAAGAGGCTGAGGACCCTGCCTGCAGCTCCATCCAGGTTGGCACGCAGGTGGACTATCCCCAACATGTGGCCTTGGGCGTCAGTGGCATGACAACAGTGTGGGGTGCTCTGCAGTGACCCTATAGGGCTTATCCTTATGATGATGGTGACAGACTATAACACAGCAGCCCCCTTCTCTGAGGGGACACATTCCAAGAACCCCAGTGGATGACTGGAGCCTCGGATAGTATCAAACCTGACACGCTGGCAGTAACTTTGGAAATCTGAGGTATGGCAGGAAAACTGCATCCATTTCTTTTTCTTTCCTCACAGTTTCAGAGAGAAGACTTGTTCTTCCTTAGACCTCAGCAACCTCAGCATATGATCTTTTTTCTTTCCTTATTAAGTCAAGAACTTTCTTTTTACTTAAAAGAGCACTTTACGGCTTCTCCTTGGCATCTCCTGATTGCCAGCATCGCCGGACTTTGGGGCTGTTATGCAGTAAAACAAGGGTGACTTGAACATAAGCTCTGGACACAGGGAGGACTCACGTCCTGGGCTGGCGAGAGTAGGACGGGGCACAATTTTATCATGCTACTCAGAACGGTGTGCAATTTAAAACTTACGCATTTTTTCTGGAATTTTCCATGGAATAGTTTCAGACTGCGGTTGACCGCAGGTAACTGAAACTACAATGAGTTCTAATCCCAAGTCCCTGATGTGGATTCCTGAGTATTTCTGCAACTTATAGGAGTGAACACGTGCTGGAGGCAGAGGCCAACACCAGGCCAATATCGTACCACGAGGAGGTGACGAGCCTGCCTGGCTTCCCCACCAGTGTCTCTGGTTCCACACTTGCAGTGCCATCATCCTACCCCAACTCATCCCACACCCACGGACAGCAGCTATGACATCAACAGGAAGCTGGGCTTCCGCACATCCCGCCTGAGTCTACTCGGCATGGTTGCTGCAAGGAGCCAGCCACCAACTGCTCCAAGGTCCCCACCTAGCCCCCTCCCCTCTAGCTGGGTGCTCACCTCACTCCTGCTACACCTGAGCCCCCGCTGGGGTTGGGTAGAGCGCTCCATCTTCCGTGCAGGCAGGGGCTGCTATGTAAGTATCTTTGCATGTGTTGGGGGAGTGGGGGCATTCTGTAGCCTCTGTCCTCCCCACCCCACCAGAGGAATTACACAGCATATTTCTCCTGACTTCAGGACTACCCTTTCCTTGGCAGTATGCACGTTAAACATATGCGAATCTTCAAAAACAACACAAACAAACAGGCAAGCCAATACTGACCCAGAGATACAGACAGGCTGGAATTGGGTTTTTTTTTTTGAGTTGGAGTCTCACTCTGTCGCCCAGACTGGAGTGCAGTGACCGCTCCCGGTCACCGCAGCTTCGACCTGCTGGGCTCCGGCGATCCTTCTGCCTCAGCCTTCCATGGAATTGGTTTTGAGGACATGCCACCTAACCCCCTGGTTCCCAAATGTGACAAGGTTTTAAGTAATTGAGGTGAGGGAAAAACAAGTGTTCTAAGAGCTGTCTATGTGCTTTCTTCCCTTTTTTCTTCCCATTCCTTCTTGAACCCACTACAGTCTGCCTTTCATCTCCACACTCAACTGAAATGGCTCATGGCAAGATCATAAGGATCACCATACTGCCCAGTGCAATGATCCAGTCAGTCTTCATCTCACTCAACCTATCAGGAGATGATCAATGAATCAACTCAGGCCAGACGTGGTGGCTCACACCTGTCATCCTAGTACTTTGGGAGGCCGAGGTGAGAGGACTGCCTGAGCCCAGGGATTTGAGACCAGCTTGGGCAATCTATAATTATAATTTTCTTGGCGAGACCTAATCTCTATAATAAATCAAAAAATTAGCCAGGCATAGTGGCACACACCTAAAGTTCCAGCTACTTGGAAGGCTGAGGCAGAAGGATCACCTGAGCCCAGCAGGTTGAGGTATAGCCATGCGTGTGCTGCTACACTCTAGCCTGGGCAACACAGTGAGACTTTAACTAAAAAAATAAAATAAAATAAAATAATCAATTCGGCAACTTTTAAGACTTACTAGGCACACTGCTGTATACAATGCTGTTACAAGTATCAGCTTTAATTAGTTATGACCACAGGTGTTCATAGGTTAACTTTTTGCAATCATTTCTGTGAAGAAAAGTACCTCTCGTTCCAAACAACCAACTTACAAACATTTGGAATAGAACCTCTTTCAAAGGGAACAAAAGCAACTGCTTTTATTGTTAAATTTTCAATTCACAGATTAAGTTTCAAAGGTTCATACTTCCTACAATCTTAACAAGAAAACCCATCCGCAGTGGTCCAATTAACTTTCAAATGAGCTAGGGGCGGGGGAGCATTTTATGTAAGCCAGAAAACCTCAGGCCTCCTTCATCTTGCTCCCTCACTAAAGCCAGGGACACTCTGTACCATACTCGTACCCGTCAGCACGTCCACCCACGTCCTGCCAGGGAGAGACTGAAAGCATCCCTGCCAAGGTGCATTTACTTACTCTCACAAACAACAATTCCACACTTGATTATAAATCGGAGATAGGACGGGGTACATGATGTCATGTATCACTATCTGATAATGTTTTACATGAAGCAGCTGTTTGTGACATACCAGTCACAGTGCCCGTCAGTATGGCATGAAGTCTAGAGGACTCGCAGCTCATACCATGTAACCCTGGTGTTCCATAGTATCTTCACATGTGCAGCTTTTCACATCTTGAGTTTTGAAGACATGACCTAGGAGCAGAAGAGCTTCTGAAGTTGACCCCTGATCTTCTGAGTGCAAAACACATCTGGAAATACTGTAGACAATGTCCCAGGCAAAACTGTGAGCATAACATTAAGGTACACTCAGACCTGCTCATAACAGAACACTTATGGGAAAACAACACCACAGAAGGCTGGACTTCCAACCAATCCATGAGCTCCTGCACTAAAATCTAGTGCCAAGATTGGAACTTTAAACACATACACACTGCCATGGGCATACGGTGACATACGGTTTTCAAAGCAAAAACGTGGTCCTCAAAAGTGGTTGGCCTTACAGGACTTGAACTGAAGACATTTCATAGTAGATTCCAATGCCAACCCACACTGTGAGGGTTTATGCATTATCTTCACACTACTACAAGTATTCACTACATACATTCATTACACAAACCAAGAATGAGTTTCTAACTTACTATTTCAACAGATACATCATATCACACACACAATTTGTTCATATTTTAACTACTATTCCGTAAGTGACTTTTGTATCAATAATGCTACTGGAATGGAATTATATTTAGAAAAATGTATGAAAACCAGATATAATAAGCTTTAAAGGGCTAAATTTCAGTTATAAAATGGGTCACAGGCTGAAAAACCACTACTTATCCACAATGATTACCTTTTAAATCAAAAGATGACCACAGGTTACCCATTATGCATCCAAATCTAGGAATGATTCATTCCATAGATTTGAAAAAACAAAAACATAACATAGGAAAGAATATTACACACAACAAATTTATAGCACACAATTTGGTAGGCTTATTTAGTATGAAAAGGAATACTCTAGTTTTTCTTGAGTTGGAGTCTCGCTCTGTCCTTCAGGCTGGAGTGCAGTGGCACACTCATGGCCACTGCAGCCTCAACCTGCTGGGCTCAGGTGATCCTCCTACCTCAGTCATCCAAGTAGCTGGAACTTCTGGCATGTGCCACCAAGTCCGGCTAAGTTTTTGATTTATTGCAGAGATGAGGTCTCACCAAGTTGCCCAGACTGGTATTGAACTCGTGGGCTCAGGCAATCCTCTCACCTTGGCCTCCTAAAGTGCTGGGATTATAGGTGTGAGTCACCATGCCCGGCCTTGACAACCCATAAAGTTTCAGGTTAAGTCATCTTGACCAAAAAAAAAGAAAAATTTAAGCAACGTAACCATAAATAAAGTTACTCACACACATACGGTTCTCTAAGGAAGAATCAGCTAAGTGCAGCATTTTCATAACAACCAACTTGAGCTATACAATATAAGTCACACAAAATTTTACTACTAATAATATCAGCAATCTTAGTTATAAAATAACATTTTAAGTCTTTCCTGATGAACATTTTAAAACCAATACCATAATCCATATAGTGAAATAGGTCATTTCCCTTAAAACAACTACACATCACATGCTGTTTCAACATGAGATTGCCATGGCTCCTAGAACAACAAAAGCACACAACTTCTGAGCTGCCTGGGAAAGCACTGACCAGGTTACTCCAGTGAGCTCCTGGCCAGTCACTACTGACATGGCCTTGAAGATTTTCACAGCACATTCTCAAAGTATTATGTTTGCTTTGAGGATGATAAATCGACAGTATGCCAAAGAATCGGTAATAAAAGAAAACATATAAATTAAGCATGTTTTTCCAAATGTCGGAATGCCATAGGTTCCCGTGAGCTGGCAGAACCTCTCCCACAGTCACTCCGATCATGCTGTGCAGGATAAGGCCTCCTTACGTAAGGAACGGTTGAGGATGTTTGCTCCCCACACCCAGAGCCATTCGGGCATATACTGTGCAAAAAGAAACTAAAAATGAAAGAGAGAAAAAAAAAGGTTAGAACCATCGATGTTCAAGAAACAAACACAAAAACAGCACATGACAATCCAACAAATATCCACCAATCGCAGGACAGACAACAAAGAAAAAAGCCCTCGGGTGCTGCTGTGTTGAACACCTGTTTTTACATCAGATTCTACCCTAGATTCTATGAGGAACAGAAACATGACCACCCCCCACCCCCCACCGCCGCCCTTCTCTGATGAGGTGGAACAGACCAGCATGTGGTAATATGATTCCATCTGTACCTAATGTGATATGAATAGCGTGTTCGCTGGTCAAAAATTATAAAATCACTATAAGAATACAAGTTGGAATAGACAGATGCATGTGTGGTTAGTATTGTAGGGAAAACCAAGGCATTAGGGGTAGGATGGAGCAAAGTTGGCAAGAGAACTGAGTTAGGAACACCTGGACCTTGGACAGTGGGCTGAGTTCGATGAAGGGCTCAGGGAGCTGGGGAGTCCTGCTAACACTGCTCTGCTTCAGGGGCTCAGCGGGGCCACTGTGCGCCCAGGAGACACACGGCAATGTCTGGAAACATGACTAGCTACTACTAGATGTCACACTGGGGCGGATGCTACTGGCACCTGGTGGGTGGCTACTGCCCAGCACCCTGCCACCCATGGGCCAGCTCCCACAAGGAGCCATCCACCCCAGATGCCAACAGTGCTGAGGTAGAAGAACCCTATGCCTCTCCGATAGGGTTGCCCAGACAGAACATTCTAACCCTTGTGTATGAAGGAAGAAAGATGGGCAGGCCCCAGAGACATAGTGACACTCCAGTCTTGAATTGACATATGATAACAAGGTCACAAAGTCTCTTCCTAGTAAATGTGTACAGGTCACTCTGCAACTCCAGGGAGGCCACACCAAGTAAGAAGGGGTCCCGTGCCATTAACTATCTGATGACAGTCCTGGAGACCATTGGTTCCAGTCTACTTGCAGAAGCTCCACTTGGCCACCTGGGAGACAGGAGCCCATACCTGGCCTGAAGCCCTGAGGAAATAACTACAATCTCTGGGTTTCTCTAAAGAGCCAAGATTTTGTAGGAAATGCCCGGATTCTCCTCCTGGGAACCCGCAAATGGGCTAAAAGGAGTCATTTAATGGTCCCTCGGGAGGACCTGTAAGAAGGGTCACACTGAACAAACAGACACCCAAGACACACTGACTCATCAGAGCCCTTCGAAGGGATATTCCTTATGTGTGCTTATGTAGTGGGGAAGGAATCGGCAACTAAGCATCAGTTTGCTTTTTAATTTCCATTCCTAACTCTGGGGAACAGCATCAAGGTATATTTTGCCAGTTCCCTAAGGAGTTGCAGGGGGAGACTCAAAGCATCCCATTTCTGGCTCATTCCAATGACATTTTAGCACGCCAGGCAACAAGGAGAAAGAGCTTAGTGGAAAGCACTGATGAGAAAGAGGAGAGAATTTGATCCTCTGGGTATTGACACTCAAAGGGCTGACTCATCGATCAGTTCACATAACAGTTAGGGAAGGAACGCCTGTACTGGGAAGCTCCGGTGAGAGCACTGGAACTGAAGTAAGATGGGGAAGCAGGGAGGTGGGAGGTGATTTGGGGTTTTTAAGGTTTTTTCCACGTTCAAGGGTCGTGTCAAGGCTAAGAAGGCAGCTGTTCCTCCTCTGCACCAAAACCCAGTGTGGCCTCCGCATGTGCTGCAGCCCAAGAAACTGCTGTCCAGCAGCACCTGGGGACCCTAGGGACCCTGGAACGGGAGGAAGCCCACAATGATGGACACTGTCAGCTGGCTGGAAATGTGCATTCGCAATTCAAGTACAAATGGCATACATTCCCCAGAGAGGAGACAGGTGGCACTCAAAGCTGTAAGGAATAAAGGATGGGAAGGCAACTCTTTATTACACCAACTAGCATAATGCACGTGAGCTCCAACTTCCGTCATCCCCACAGACCTGAGAAAGGAGACACCTGTGGTTCAGCCAGGCTAGCACCGCTCCTGCTCAGAACCGCATTTCACAGACACCTACAGAGGCACCAGGTGGAAGTGAGCACACCTGTTCCCTGGCCTCTGCGAGCTGATTAAAAACAGCCTCTTTTTTATACAAACTCAGAAATGATCATGTGATCAGCAGTGTTCTCAATAAAATGTTGGGATGACTTCAGGGGGTCACTATGAAGGGACTTCAAGACAGACTTTGGGAAAACATGCCAGTGCTGCCGATGACACCCACAGACTGGGTAGACTGAGGCCACACCTGGGGCAGCCCTCTGAAAGGCAGCCCCACCGTCACCAGGGTCTCACTCTCCTTGCCTCCAGGTGATGATGTCAAACCCTCACTGTCTGCCAGCCACTGCCTTCTCCAGTCTCCCATCTGGACATGCCCCTCCCCTCTGTCAGACACCAGCCCTTTGGCCCCTAGGACTTCCGGCAGTTCCTGGTTGTCCTTGAGGCCCAAGGCATTTCCTACTGCTGCACTCACCCTGTCCCTTGCAACCTCTGGGGACCACACATTTCCTCTCCTGTCTTGACACTTTCCTTCTCCACAGGCTCCTTCCCTCCAGCAGGCCTCTGGGAACGGGAGTCAATTAACCAACAACCAGGGTACCCCTGGACCCAGGCCCTCACTAGTCTGCACAGTCCTATCCATCGAGTGGCCTACCTCCCACACGTGTCTCCATGGCCTCACCTGCCACACACTCGCCAGCTTGTCCTTAAGATGGCTCCAAAGCTGCCTTCAACAAGGTCACTGGAGTCCCGAGATACCAACCCCAGCAGCTGCACTGTAGTCCTTGTGTTACATGACAGCCAGCACCCCCGATACCATTCCCTCACCTTGAGACCACCTCTTCCCTTGACAGTATGGGGTCCATGCTCTGTTGCCTTCCTCCCGCTTCCAGTGGGCCCTGCTCAGGTTCCTTGGCTGGCTCTCCTCCTCCACCTCTCCTGGGAAGGTGAGAGTCCCTGGAGACTCTTACCGAGCTCTTCTTGGATGATGTCACGCCCTCCCACAGCTGTCACCCAAGTAAATCTAACAGCCTACAAACCTTTACCCCATACTCACCTCTTGCCCAGCTCCCTGCACGGCTGCCAAGCCGCACTTCCATCACACACTTCCCGGGCCCTCCAGAGCTGGCGTGCACACAGCATTTACCCCTTCTATCCAACCTCTTCCTCTTGTGCTGCCTGTCTGAGCAACTTCTTTGAACCACTGACTTACTAAAGCTATAAAGCTGAGAATATGTTTTGCTTCTTCCTTTCCTTCAATCTTTCATACTCAATCTATTATCACATCTTGCCGAGACAGAAATATATCATTCTGGTTTAATTCACAATGTAGAAGACTAACTGAAATAAACAGCACAAAATAAAACTCAATACCATAGGTTTGACACATCAAACTTCTTTCCTAGAGCTAAGTATTGACAGAGGACTGACACCTTGATAAAATTCAGGAATCTGCAACCTGGACAAAGTGCATTCAGAAGATATGGAACCAATAAAAGAAAGGCCCAGCAGCCACAGCTACCAAAGAAATATGCTACAGACAAAACGGCGACTGATTAATCACATCCTTGTAACACTGAAAAAAAAATTAATGGTGTTAAAAATAATTTGCAGGCTGGGCACGGTGGCTCACACCTGTAGTCCTAGCACTTTGGAAAGCCTAGCACTTTGGAAAGGTGGGAGAATTACTTGAGCTAAGGAGTTTGAGACCAGCCTGGGCAAGATAATGAGACCTTGTCTCTACAAAAAAATCCAAAAAATTAGCCAGGCACAGTGATGTGCACCTGTAGTCCCAGCTACTTGGGAAGCTGAGGCAGAAGGATCGCCTGAGCCCAGGTGAGCCCAGGAAGTCAAGGTTACAGTAAGCCAGGATTCTGCCACTGGGTAACAGAGTGAGACCCTGTCTCAAAAATAAATAATAAAGTAAAATAAAATGAAAATTTAAAAAATAGATTGCTTTAACTTTATACAGAAAACAACTCCAGGAATTAAATCAGCTTAACAAATTTCTTGGAAGAAAAATACGTTCTCGAGGAAAGTTCATCAATGTGAACAATGCTTACTTGTGATTAACATGTGGGTATTTTATAAACATAGTCAAAATACCTACTACATCTAATCCTCCTCTTCATTATATCTTTATTTTAAGAAAACTTCATGGTCAATGGTCTCTAAGACCACTCTAAGGTTTCTCTGCTTTTCTCAGGTAATTAAAGGAGCTTGAAACAATCAATTAAATAAAACTGCTTCTTCTTAAAGAACTCTTTAGCCAAAAAAAAAAAAAAGTGAAAACTGGTAATTTACTATTATTTTTATTTAGTAGTGCTAGATCGAATAATCTTCATGCAAACAGTCCCCAAAATATTTGTTTGGCAATTAAGAAAACTCCAAATATTAAAGAAAAAAATTCTCAAGCAGGACACATCTATTTACTATGCCAGATAAACACAAATATACTAAATTATTACAAGTTCGTGCACTAATACTTAGGATCACAATTCCAAAAGTACTAAACAACCCAATCTCTGTCGTGCCTGAATAGCAAACTTAAAATAAAAATTCTTGTCAGGCATGGTGGCACAAGCTTAAAATCCCAGCACTTTAGGAGGCTGAGGTGAGAGGAATGCCTGAGTTCAAGGGTTCAAGACCACCCTGGGCAACTTGGCAAGACCTCCTCTCTATAATAAGTCAAAAAACTAGCTAGGCATGGTGGCACATGGCTGTAATTCCAGCAACTTGGAAGGCTGACATGGAAGGATCACCTGAGCCCAGGAGGTGGAGGCTACAGTGGCTGTGAGCATGGCACTCCAGTCTGGGTGACAGAGTGAGACTCCAACTCAAAAAAAAAAAAAAATTATATGCTTCCGGAACAAATGAGTCCAAAAATACACTGAGACAGTATTTGACATAATGGTTTCATGAAATATAGACCAATTTCAAGGTTTTATGTGTTTTTTTTTTTTATTACACTGTTCACTTAAAGGTACCCCTCATTATTAATAATTAACATCAACATTAATACTCAGCATTATTAGAATTTTTTTTTTGCCTTGAAAGCCCCACAGACATACTTAGTATTTTTATACTCTTACCACTCACTTATATTAAAGCAGCATATTTCATCTTTTAGGCGCCAAGTAGATTGAAATTCTGAAAATTCTGAATAATCTCACCAAAGAGAATTTAGTGTCTTAACCAAAACCATTGGAAGTGTCAGGCTTAAGGATCAGAACTGCCCATTCTCATCCTTCCACTAGATTGCCGTGTGTCATTTAAGAAGGCTTAGGTTGCATCAGCCTCATTACAAGACCTGAAAGCACATGGCTACCTGAATGGAATGAGACCAGTATCCTGTGGTTCTTTTGGAAATCCCAAGAGTGGAAACAGCATGGTGTGCATATACTTTGGGTGAAGGCACCAGCCACGGGCATCTGTGCAGAAAGCTACTGGGTGTAGTCACATGGGTGGCCACGTAGAATGGGATGAGGCTCTGCACGAAGATGCCCTTCGAAGCATACTCGTACTGCAGGGCTCTGCTGAAGTGGTCAAGATATGCCTGGAGCAACAGGGGAGGAAAAGACTCTCAGGTTTCAGGGAATGTAAAAGAAAAGTCAGGAGAAAAAAGACTTGCTTATTACCATTTCAAGAAAAAACAGAGCTGACACAAATACAAGTTGCTGACAAGGGCTCAACCAGTCAGACCAAACTACTGTTAACAAACATTTGCTGCATTAGCATTTCATTTTTGAGTTAAGTGAGCCTAACCTTAGAAGCAGAAAACGCAGCCAGCTGGGGGGTGGGTTTGCAGCAGGAGCCAGAAGAAATTGTGACGATGGCACCTTTCTTCCTCTCTACCATGCCCGGCAACACGATGTGGACCATCAGGCTGGCGGCAGCAATGTTCACATTTATGATGTCCCAGAGTTTGTCCTCAGAGACCTGGGTGAAATACTGGGGGTAGGGGTAAAACACGCCCACGTTATTTACCAAGATGCCAATGTCTTTGTCTTTCAGAGCTTCTCGAATTGGAACATAGATCTCACGGCCCCTGCTGAAGTCCGCAACAATGATTTCGGTTTCCACTTTGAAGGTGTTGGCTATGTCTTGAGCCACAGTCTGCAACTTCTCTTCGTTTCGACTGATCAGGATGATATTGAGGCCCCGGCTCGCCAGCTCTTCCGCATAGGCCTTTCCAATCCCCTCCGTTGCACCTATGACGCAAGCCAGCCCAAGTGAGCACATCCATCTCAGGGTGTGGCCTTTAAATGGGCCTTAAACACCCCTGCCAGGTTTAACCAGAGAAATAAAGTGAGCTCTAGAATTACGAATCAAGGACATTGCTGGGTCAATAATGAGCAATATGTGCTAAATACTCTCCCAGATACCCTGACAGACAAGGAGTCGCTTTACAGACCCCACACTGATTAGGAGACAGCAGGGATTTGTTTTCAGACTTCTATATGGCTTGAATGAGCAGCAGGAGGCGCTTTCTGGGAAACAATAAGTTCAAATGAAATTCAAAATAGGTAAAGCATTTCTGAAAGTGTTGAGTTTCTAATGACAATTTCAAAACAGACAGCAAAAAGGAAAAGTGAGGGTGGGAAGGAGGGCCTGGGGTAAGCCTGGAATCAGGGAGGACAAAACAGGAAGGACACAAGCAGGAGCAGGTGCCTCCTAAGGGGGACAGCGAGAAACTGTCAATATCACGGCAGGAGTTGTAAGTTCTGTGTTTTTATCTGCACATTCCCATGAAAACATCACATTAAATTCAACAGCTCCTTGAATAATGCATCTAACTTAACCAAAAAGATTCAAAAAGAAAAGATTCTTTCGATAATAAATCAGTTACCACTGACGATGGCCCATCTTCCATACTGCTTGATCAAGTCTGCTCTGCTCCCCAGGCGAGGGATGAAGTGCAGCCTGATCAGACTATAAAAGTCACAGACGACGGTGATGCTCTTTCTGGCCGTGTACCAGGCTCCAACCAAAGCCAGTGCTTCCATATAGCAGTTGCAAGACCTGGCAATTTCCCTGTATAAGAGGTAGAAGCTGTCCACAGCGGCCATGGCAACCTGCAAGGAGTGGATAAGAGATGCTCTCTCCTTAATAAACCAAGGAACACGCACAGTCACATGAATAACCCACCTGACAACATCAGAGTTTGACAATGTGCATTCAAATAACAGTAACTTTTCAAACACATGTGGCCCATGGATCCAATAAATTTATGATATCATGTTTAACAACCTGTAGCATATAACAGGGGTCCTCAACTCCCAGGCCAACAAAAATAATATAAACTGCCACATGACGTGGCATATGTATGCCTGCAATCAGGGATAACCCTGCTGAGATAGACAAAGGCCAAGCACAGGGCCCTGGCACATGGCTGAGTGAGGGGACTTCATCCTAAACCACACCAACTGTGTGCGGCTGCCACCTCTGAGGGACACACATACAAAAGCCAGAATATATTCAAATCGCAGGGAACTCAGATATCCACAAACACAAGCATACAGCTTACATTATAAAAAGAAGGTCATTTTATGCATATGTATGAACCCCCCCCCCACCGGGAGTGCCCCTCCCCCCCCTTTTTTTTTTGAGTTGGAGTCTCACTCTGTCACCCAGACTGGAGTGCAGTGGCCGCTCCCGGCCACCGCAGCCTCGACCTGCTGGGCTCTGGCGATCCTTCCGCCTCAGCCTTCCAAGTAGCCGGAATTACAGGTATGCGCTACCAAGCCCAGCTGATTTTTTGATTTATTGTAGAGATGAGGTCTCGCTGCCCAGGCGGGTCTCGAACCCGCGGGCTCAGGCAATCCACTCACCTCAGCCTCCCAAAGGTGCAGAATTACAGGCTGAGTCACGGAGCCCAGCTTGGGAGTGGCCCCTTTTAAAGGAATTCCATTAAAATAGAAAAGCCCGAAAGCAAGAAAATACCCAGCAAGTACAGCAAAAATTGGCATAAGTTGAAGGAAGAATGAGTGAATTCCTCCTACTCCACTGCAGCGTAACTTGAGCTCAACCAAGCTTTGCGGAATAAAAAATGAACTAAGCAGAAAAAAACAAATTGAACCACAGAAACGGAACACTTGCAAAAATGACACCATGTTGTGACAGGAACTGTTGAGTAAGTAAATATGTAAAAAAACATGTTGAGTCCCAATCACAAACCAACGAGACACACAGAATATGACAGAACAATGAAGAAATGGATAAGCAGGAGGACTCCTAAATGCCCTATGTCAGGATACAATCTCTCAAGCAATAAGGTCTCATCATCACCACATCAGTGGTTCAGCCAATGTGGCACTGAGGTTAAAAAATGCTTTTCTCAAACAAAAATGTGGGCCATGTTATCTTCTATAGGCAAATGCTATAGAATGGGTTCTGTTCATAGAAACTCATGGCATGAGCATGCCACTGCACTCCAACCTGGGTGACCGAGTGAGACTCCAACTCAAAGAAAAAGAAAGAAAGAACATTACAAACTGAGATTCCATCCTAAATTGGAAGTTTCTGAAATAATTTACAAAGTGTATGTGTGCCTTTTATCAAAACTAATTGAACACTAGGCCATGAGGAAAGTAAAAACAAAGAAATTCATACGCACTAGGACTTCTCATCAAAATGGAATAAGGCTCAGCCTGTAATCCTAGCACTTTGGGAGGCCAAGGCAAGTGAATTGCCTAAGCCCATGGGTTCAAGACCAGTCCAGGCAACTTGGCAAGACCTCGTCTCTACAATAAATAAAAAGTTAGCCAGGCATGGTAGTGTGCAACTGTAGTTCCAGCTACTTGGAAGGCTGAGGTGGACAGATCACCGGTGCCCAGCAGGTCGACACTGGGGTGGCCATAAGTGTGCCACTGCACTCCAGCCTGGGTGATAGAGTGAGACTCCAACTCAAAAAAAAAAAAAAAATGGAATAAGATTAGAAATCACAAACTATGATTTTTTAATAAAACCTAGATGTCTGGAATATAAATCTATCCTTCTAATTACAGGTAGGCACAAACCTAGGATGTTAAAACAGTGTGATGAAAAAATAAACGCCACATGTCAAGATCTATGGGCTGTAGTCAAAGCAATACTTGTAGTAAAATTAACTGCAAAGAGTATGTATTAGAAGGTTCTAGCTACAAAGGAGGTCAGGTGAGCCCGTGGCATGACTCACCCTGGTGGGAGGCTGGGTAAGAGAAATTTCTTCCTCCTTCAGCTCCATTTTTCTCCAGATTGGGAGCATTTTTTAAGAAAACCTCTAGCAAACAGTGCCCAGCCTCTCTGCTCTTGGTTCTCTTACCTTCTCTGCCAGTTCCAGGCCGTCAGCAGGATGCAGCTGGGGCCTCTCTGAAGGCCAATCTGTGAACAAAAACCAACAAGAAACAAATTCTTTCCTTTTTCTTGTAGCTCGACTGGGAAAACTTTATATAAAATTAGCATCAAAGTTGTCAAAAACCATGAAAACACAAAACTTATGCCATGAATCTCTGTATAGGCAGCAAAGCATCTACTAAACATGAAGTCCCCTCATCACAGAATAAGGAAAGTCTCACAGTCTGCCAGGGACATATAGGCCACCCTCCCTGCAGGGTCTGGCTAGAGTGCACACCGCTGTTCCTGCGCCTTTTGTCTTAAGGAACATTTCATAAAATGGGACAAAAACCCGCTCAAATTAGTGTGGAGAAAGACAACCATCTGTGACAACGCAGGGCATGTTGGGCTGCCAGGCACAGTGGCAGGCGGCATCCAGAAAGCAAGCAGACCCAACCACCCTCAGGTAATTCTCTCCCTGCTGCCCGCTGGGTTCCGGGGCCTCTTCTGTCTCTGCACACAGCTTCTTCCACATCCCGCAGCCACTGGAACTTCCGCATGACTACACCCTGCCTTGGCATCTCTGCCGAGTTGCTGGCTGGGTTCTGGCTGGCCTGAGCGCGGGTGCCCACAACTTGTCTAATCCCCTGGCAGGGTGGCAGGAAGGGAGCCATCCTGTGGGCCTGGGGCAGTTGCCCAGACGATGACTGGGCCAGGTGCTTTAAGGAATGGGTGGAAGGAACCTGGGCCCATATGTGCCCTCTCTTCCACCAAACGGGCTCATGAGAACTGCTTCGTTTCTGTATCACCTCAGGAGGCAGCCTCCCCCCAGGGCAGAGGCCAGCTTGGACTCCTCTCTGCTCCTCCAGCACCGGCCATATTCCCTGTTGAATGAAGCTGTACGACTCCTTCTCTGGCCACAGCTCACAGCTGAGTCTCGTCCTTCCAGCTCAGTCTCCCCACGGCAAGAACCACCTCATTCCTCAGCTCAGGAGCAAACCACCACCAAACCCCTGCAGTCCTTAGCAGAAGGGCCTGTGTGAACCCTCCAGGGACCACCTCCTCAGTCCAGCAGGAGAGACGTGCTGACTTCAGAGGTGAGAGGGAGGAACCCAGTGTCGAGGAGCTTCACACCCACTGCAGCCCAGCCTCCTGGCTCCACCCGCTGGAGACCCCTCCTTCTTGTTGGGGAATGTCATCAGGAAATTCTAGCAGTACAGGTCTACCAGGTACAAAGACCCCAAATGTGTGTTAGCATTGCTACACATAAAAGTCACAGAGAAACAAGGGAAGGCTGATGGCATTCAAGGCCTGGTCCTCAGCCTTGAAGTAAAAAACCACAAGTTTATCATCCTCAGAAGGCAGCTCGAGACAGAGAGATCTGACTCACGCCTGTCCAACTCATGGAAGACTGACCACATTTAAACACCAGTGTATCTGTAAATAATGAAACACATAGAAACCTAAACAAATAGTCACTGGTCTATAGTCTCTCATGCAAGAAGGTCTACATGGAAAACCAAACCATCAGAACAGCCATGAAGAAAACAACGAAGTGTCAGAGCCTGGGGACACCATCAAGAAGCAGTCAGGGCTCCCTGCCACCCTGAGGCTGCAGAAAGATAAGTCAAGCAGCTGCAAGGTAGCAAAGGTGCTGCTGAAGGAGGGAAGTGGGTCTTGAAGTATGAGCAAGATCTGGGACAAAGAGGCCAGGGGCATCCTAGTCATGGGTACACAGGGAAAGGCATGGCACTGCCAAGGTCGGGCCCCCTCAGGCAATGGCAAGAAGTCCTGTATGGGGGCAGCACAGGACATTATCTCCCATGTGGCAGGTGCAGGGCATGAGGGGTGGCAAAAGGGTGGAGAGAGGTAGACTGGGAGAGGCCTTCACGCCAGCCTGAAGTGCCAGGCTTCCTCTGTGAGCACGGGGGAAGGGCTGACTGGGCAGTAGGAGAGGAGGGGACGAGTCCTGAGTCCTGTTGGTTCCAGCTGGGGTGAAGGGTGGCTGGACTGGGAGTGTCTGGTCCCACCCTGCTGGACCGTAAATGGAAAGATAACAGGGAATCAGAACTCGACACCACTCAATCCTTTCCCCCATCCTTCTACACATGATGGAAAACAGTGTCTTTCTCATGAAAGACATCAGAACATTCCCCAAAGCTATTAAATCTCAAAAGTTCATGGCTTTCTCAGTGAAACAAACTATTAAAGGTGTTTATTACACATTTAAGCCTAAAAGCCCATTAAGGCATAGACAGATAGCAAGCTGTATCAAACTCATGTTAGGTGTATAACTAATGCTTTTGCAAATCAATTAAAGGCATTCGTCTATGTTATGGTCTGAATGTCTGTGTCCCCCTCCCCTGCCCCCTGTCATTCATGTCTTGACTCCTAACCCCCATGGGTGATGGGGGTATTAGAAAGTAAGGCCTTAGGGAAGCAGTTAGGTCATGAGAACTCCATCACCTTGATTTTAGACTTCTCAGCCTCCCAAACTGTGGGAAATAAATGTACACTGTTTCTAAGCTACACAGTTCACAGTGTTTTGTTACAGCAGCCCAAATGGACTAAGACAGTCTATAACCTGGAGAAACTCATTATTCAGAAAGCAATACTAAATACAGTAAAATTCTGGTCCCTATTCACTCTACCTATACAAAAGTTATTACAAAGCTCTGCTTAAACAGAGAGTAGAATGGTGGTTGCCAGAGGCAAGAATTAGCAGAAATTGGGAAATTTTGGTCAAAGGGTACAAGCTTTCAATTATAAGATGAATAAGTTCAACCTGTAATCTCAGCACTTTGGGAGGCCGAGGCAAGTGGACTGCCTGAGGCCACAGGCTCGAGATCAGCTTGGGTAACTTGGCGAGACTTTGTCTCTACAATAAATAAAAAATTAGCAGGGCATGGTAGCGCACGCCTTTAGTTCTGGCTACTTGGAAGACTGAGGCAGAAGGATCGCCAGAATCCAGCAGGTTGATGCTGGCGTGGCCATGAGCATGCCACTGCACTCCAGCCTGGGTGACGGAGTGAGACTCCAATTCAAAAAAATAAAAAACAAATAAAATAAATAAAATAAAAAGATGAATAAGCTCTAGAGATCTAACATACAGCATGGTGACTGCCGTTAGCAATACTGGATCATATACCTGAAGTCGCTGAGAGGGTAGATCTTAAGTGCTCTCACTATATACACACACAAAAGGTAACTACGTGAGGTGATGAATGTGTGAACTAACTTGACTGTAGTGATCATTTTACAAACTATGCATATGTCAAATCATCATGCTGTACATCTTAAACATATACAACTATACTGTTAATTACACTTCAATAAGGCTGTAAAAAATATTAAACTTTTTAAAGTTTTGTTTTCTTGCCTCTACAGAAAACAAAAACATGAGTGAACAAAACAAAACCAAAACTGTCCCCACTAAGAAGAGAAGACCAATTCCCTGTTGTCTCTCAAGCATTGTCTGCTTCTCCAGGGCAATGTTCATCAGGGCAACAGTCATCAAATACGTGCAGGAAACATTGCAGCTACAGAAGTGTCATGGAAAATGATGGTCAAACTGCAATGGTCACCCCTTCAAAGCACCACTGCTGTGGCCTGTAACACTATCCTGATCCACAATTACGCTGACTCCATGCAGCACATACGGCAATAAAATCAATCAGAAAACCCTTCCTGAATCAAGAGTTCTGGGAGGAACACCTTAGCTGAAACCCAGATATCACCACATCATCCAGATGAGTGTGACCTGGGGTGCATGGTAAAAAAACATAAAGCAGGTTGGCCAAGATGGTTTAAAGAAAATAAAGTATGACAGAAAAAAGACAATCAAAACACCACCAACAGATGGAGTGTGGCCAGCTGGGTGGCAGCCTCCAGAGATGTCTAATCCTAGCCCTGGATCCTGTAAATACGTCTCCTCCTGAGGCAAGAGGGACTGTGCAACCATGACTCCATTAAGCATGGAGATGGGAGAGTCCTGGGTGAGCCGGGTGGGCCCAATGAGATCACGTGTCCTTACAAGGGGAAGGACGATCAAAGACAGAAGTGTCCAGAGAAGCAGAGAGAGCTGATCTCAAGGAGCCGCACTGCTGGACCTGACGACAGAAAGGGAACACCAGCCAAGGACTACCTGTGGTCTCAGAAACCGGCAGAGGCCAAGGATTCTCCCCAGAGCCTTCAGAAGGAACCAGTCCTGCTGACACCTTGACTTTAGCCCAGTGGCAATGACTTTAGATGCTGACCTCCAAAACTGAGATCATAAATTTGGGTTGTTTTAAGTCAATACATGTGGAGAATTTGTTACAAGAGCAACAAGAAATAAAGACAGATAGAGGGAAGGAGAGCGGGAAGGAGGGAGGGACAGACTAATCAACTGTCAGTCACCCTAGCTTCTAGGACAGGAACAAGACACTGAAAACCAATCCCGCACTATCCTTAAGTCAAGCCACCAAGTGTCATCAGGAACCAGAAAGTCTCCTGGGAGAGTCCCTGACCTGATCTTCGCCCAAGAGGACCTTGGACCAAGGCCCTCCTCCCTTCTTCATCAACAGTCGGCACTGCCCAGCTTTTCTGCGAGGCACCAGGGCTACAGATGTTCCCATCAACATTTTTTCACAGAAATCTTTTTTCAGATAGCCAGAACCTACCTTGCACTCAGTACCCAAATCCTATCCTTCCAAGACCTTCAACTCCAGCACTTCCTGCCAAGAACCAACAACATGTCAGCCCTGGGAAGAAACTGCCCTTTCCAGGCAGTGGCACTGACCCATATGAGGATCCCCCCACTCTCCTACCCATGTGGCACCAGCGCATATGCTGTGCTGAATTCTACTTAAACACAGAAACTTGTTCACACTTGTTCTCAAAAGAGAGTTTGGCCCTCCTGCGGGAAGAAAAAATTGTATCTAAAATGAATTATCTGTAATTGAAAAAATATATAAAGCCAGGTGCAGTGGCTCACACCTGTAATCCCAGTACTTTGGGAGGCAGAGGCAAGAGGATTGTCTTAGCCCAGGGGTTTAAGACCAAGCCTGGGCAACTTGGCAAGATCCTATCTCTACAATAAAGTCAAAAAATAGCTGGGCATGGTGGCACGTGCCTGTAGTTCTAGCTACTTGGAAGGCTATCGCAGGAGGATCGCCTGAGCCCAGAAGGTCGAGGTTATGGTGGCCATTAGTGTGTACTCCAGCCTGGGCAACAAAATGAGACTCTGACTCAAAAAAAAAAAAAGATATACAAAAGCATGTAAAATCTACTTTACACAGGTCAAAGAATAAAACAAAACAGCCACTTAGCCACCAGTCTACATAACAAAACCAGTGTCTTGGAAGCCCAATGTTCCTTCTCTGGTCATGCCCATCATCCCTGGAGGCAGCCATGCTCCTAAATTCTCACTCTCTGGTACTTTTCTTTATGAACAGCCATCCAACCCAGCATGAATTCTGAAAACAGGAATAGTACACTCCAGCCTGGCTATGAACTTGATATAAAGGGACCACACTGTACACACTCCTCGGTGATGTTTCTTTCCTCCGCATTGTTCTGGAGACTTCTCCAGGGACCTGTGCTGCCATCATCCCCTCCCACAGCTGTCCAGTCTGCTGCTGGGCACATGGTTGCTTCTGCTGGCTTTGACTTTTTGGTCATGAATGCTGCTGTGATGGACGTTCTTGTCCTTGTCGCCTGGACACCTGGGCAAGAGTTCTCAAAGGGACACGCTTCATAGTGAGCTGCTGGACCACAGGCGGCACCAGACATTGCCAAATGCTTTCTTTTTTTTTGAGTCAGAGTCTCACTGTCGCCCAAACTGAAGTGCAGTGGCACACTCAAGGCCACCACAGCCTCAACCTGCTGGGCTCAGGCGATCCTTCCGCCTCAGCCCTCCAAGTAGCTGGAACTACACATGCACGCCACCATGCCCAGCTAATTTCTTGATTTATTGTAGAGATGAGGTCTCACCAAGTTGCCCAGGCTGGTCTCGAACCTCTGTGCTCGGGCAAGCCTCTCACCGCTGCCTCCCAAAGTGCTGGGATGACAGGCCTAAGCCACCGTGCCTGGCCAAATGCTTTTCCAAAGCAGCAGAAGCAATTCACACAGCAGCAGCAGCAGGTTTGCGCCACATCCTCAATGACACTGGCTGGTAGTGCTCCACGGTTCACCTTCTGCCAACTAGCAGCTGTGAATGGTATCTCGTTAAAGTTTTCATTTCCATTTCCCTGGTTGCTGATAAGGCTGAAATTCTGCTGATGTCCATGGGCTGTCTGTGTTTTCTAATCTATAAACTGCCAGTTCTTATCTTTTGTCCTCTTCTTTTTCTCTCAGAATTATAAGAATTCTTTATAGGTTCTAGCCAAGTGTGGTGGCTCTTGCCTATAATCCCAGCACTTTGGGAGGTCGAGGCGAGACGATTTCCTGAGCCCAGCAGTTCAAGACCAGCTCAGGCAACATAGTGAGACCTTGTCTTTACAATAAAAGTAAAAGCTTAGCAGGGTGTGGTGGTGTGTACCTGTAGTCCCAGCTACTCTGGAGGCCGAGGTGGAAGGATCGCCTGAGCCTAGTAGTCGTAATCGTGCCACTATACTCCGGCAGCCTAGGTGACAGAGTGAGACTCCAACTCAAAAAAAAAAAAAAATACCAGCTCTCTGTTTTATGTCTCTTTATAGCACCAATTTTTTTTTTGAATCAGCGTCTCACTCTGTCACCCAGGTTGGAGGCTGGAGTGTAGTGGCAAGCTCACAGAACCACAGCTTTCACCTGCTGGGCTCAGGCAATCCTTCCACCTCAGCCTTCCAGGTAGCTGGAACTACAGGCGTGTACCACCACGCCCGGCTAATCTTTTGATTTATTGTAGAAATAAGGTCTTACCATGTTGCTCAGGCTGGCCTCGAACTCCTGAGTTCAGGCAATCCTCTCGTCTCCGCCTCTCAAAGTTCTGGGGTTGTAGTCTGCGCCCGACTACAGCACCTTGGATGAACCGGATGCCTTCATTTTCATGTAGACAAATTTATCTATCTTTCTCTTTTATGGTTTGTGCTCCTTATGTTTTATTTCAGAAACCCCTCCTCAGCCCCAGGTCATGAAACTCTTTCTCCACATTATTCCCTGAGTTTTCCAGTTTCGCTTTTCAGATTTGTCTTTCACTCTCCTGGAGTTTTGTGATGGTGTGAGGCTGGGATCTCATACTTTTTTTTTTTTTTTTTGAGTAGAAGTCTCACTGTCGCCCACGATGGGGTGCAGTGGCACGCTCACGGCCACCACAGTCTCGACCTGCTGGGCTCAGCAGTGATCCTTTCGTCTTAGCCTTCCAAGTAGCTGGAACTACAGGCACGCACCACCAACGCCCGGTTAATTTTTTTTATTTATTGTAGAAATGAGGGCTCACCAAATTGCCCAGGCTGGTCTCAAACCCCTGGACTCAGGCAATCCTCTCGCCTCCACCTTCCAAAGCGCTGGGATAATAGGCATGAGCCATCGTGCCCTGCAATCTCATACTTCTTAATATTGCTCCATAGCACCTGGCATGATGCTATGTAGACATTTATTTAAAAAGCATAATCAAATACTGCTTTGTGTTCAAAGCTCAAATTTCACTTTTGAGAGAAAAAAATGTAAGAAGCTTCTCTTAGTTTGTGTAAGCACATTGACAGAGTTATTATCGGTGTATCATGACTTTTTGGGATTTCCTTACCTACTGCTGCCAGTTTCTGACACAGTACTACACTAACAACAAAGCTGGGCAGAAAGAGCAGCAGCACGGGAGCTGGAAGCCTGGACTCCCACCTGAGATCCAGTACTCCTCAGTGTTATGTCTACATGTGTGCAACAGGAATTAAAGTCATCATCACAGTACCCACTCTGGGCTTACACCCAAGGTAACTAAAGACTTCAGCTCACATCAAAACATGTGCACACATGTTCACAGTAGCCTACTCACAATAGCCAAAAGGTAGGACAACCAAACTGTGTACCAACGAAGGAATAAACAAATGCAGTCTGTCCATACAATGGAGTATTATTCAGCCATAAAAAGTAATGAAGTACTGGTCCATGCTACAACATGAACGAACCTTGAAAACATGCTAAGAGACAGAAGCTAAACAAAAAAGGTTACATATTATATGATTCCAGTTGGATGAAAAATCCAGACACAGAAAACAAATGAGGGATGCTGGGGGTGGGAGAGGGGGAAAAGGGGTACGGCTCCTAGTGGGGTTGAGGCTTCTTCTGTGGGTGATGGCAATGTTCTGAAATTAGTTACTGGTGATGGCTGCATGGCACTGTGAACACAGTAAGAACTACAGAGTTGTACACTTTAAAATGGACAAACGGTGAATTTTATGTGAATTTCATCTCCATCCACAAAACCTACTAGAAAAGTAGCATTTTGTTGAACGATATCCCTGGAATAGTCCTTAGTGATTAAAAGCACAGATTCTGAAAAGTGACTAGCTGGGTTGGAATCCAGCCCCCATTCAAGAGCTGTGTGTCCTGGGAGAAGTCACTTCAAGTCATCTATCGGTAGGGAGACAACAGTTCCTGCCAGAGATTGTGATGAGATGTAAATGAGGTAGAACACATCAAGCCTTGACAACAGCTCTTAGCTATTAGCCACGATGACTTAGTGCCTGACTTTAGCTACTGGCCATTTGTAGCTGTCCGAGGTAAAACTGAGTGCTTACTTTACGCAAGGCTCTGCTGAGTGCTTTATCCTGTGATCTCATTTTACTTGCTCATCAATCTTAAGAGAGTAGAGTTAGACGCATCCCCCGCTGACAGGGAAACTGAGGCTTAGCGAGGTAAAGGAGCACAGCCAGGACGCCACAGCTGAGAAGCGGCCGGCCAGAATCCAGATCAAGGCCTATCCAAGCGCGGAGCCCTGGCTGGGGGGCCACCGCGAGACCCCCAGGCTTTCACAGTCACGTGTACACACATCCTGCCGCCATCGCCCAGAGGCGCTGCAGTGTCCTGGCTCTGGGGCTGTGACCAGGCGACACACAGAACAGGGACACGCCTCGTTCATCTCCCCCAACCCCTCCCCTCAGCACCCGGGCAGGGCCCAGCACCCACGGGCGAATTCGGAAATCCTGGCTGAACCAGCGGTGCTGGCTGCATCGAGAATCAGTGCGCCCTCTCTTTAAGGGCTCTATTATTCTGAAAATTTCTGTCTTAGAAGAGGAAGACAACAAAACCCTACTCAAAGCAAACCGTTTAGAAAGAGAATAAAGAAGCACGGACAAAGAGGAACGTTAAGAGCCTCTGGCGGAGGAGGCGGGTCTGCGGGAATTGAGGGGCACGCGCTGGGGGGGGCGGGGCCGCCTGAATAGCTGAGGCCGGAGACAGGCGGCGGGGACCCAATAAAGGGAGACTTCTGGGGGTGCAACGCTGCGGAGGACAGGGTTGGAGGGCGTGGGGATGGAGACCGGGAGGGGATGCGAGGTCTGGGGGGACGGGACTG